TTGGTAACATCTCGCCAAGCCCTTAGCCTACCCCTTGCCCTATGGATGTGCACATACCCCTTGGTACTTGCTGAGTACAGTCTGCCTGTCTATTCTTTCTGCATCGAGTCTCTTCTGTCCTAGGTGATAGTACTCTGTGGATGAAGGATAGGAACTGTATGACGAAACCCCTATCTGACTTAGTAGAGCTGATACCGTGTCTAATCTCACTCTCCCGGAGGCCTAACCCTCCCAAGGACCGGTGCTGACCGGCGGGGCTCGGATTGGGTGTGACACGGTGGGCTTGAACAGCGGAGACGTGGGCTGACACAACAGGCAGTCTTAAGTGTTGAGGGCCTTGTTGACCCAAACCCTTGCCAGAACTAGTAAGGCTAAAGGCCGTGTCTGACAACTCGACTATCCCGAAGGTCAAACCCTCCCAAGGACCAGTACCGACCAGCGGGCTGCTCGGTGTGGCATGGTAGGCCCGAAAGGCTGAGTTGTGGGCTGATGCAACAGGCCAGACCAAAGCTGATCACGTCGTCCTGTCTGCGACGTTAAAGAATTCTTGCGGAGTTTGGGGGATCTCCTTAAATGCCTCCTGATCAGCAATAGGTCTAGTAGTGACAGCTATAGCATAGGTCTAGGCTAGAGACCATAGTTGACAGGATCCCTGTCAGGATTCTGTGAGTCCTTAGATTGAGTTAGTAGGTCTGTCAGTCAGGGGTTAGAGTCAACGTGGTGAGGTTTGGAACCGCCACTTGGTTGTGCACCTATCACCATGGTTGAGACCCGCGGTGGGACGAGTACTAGCCCCTACACCCAGGAGCAGCAAGAGAAGATGGCCGCCATAGTGAAAGAAAATAGAGAGAGGAAGGAGCTCCTGAAGCAAGCGAAGTTGAAGGCTATCGCAGAGGAGCAGGTGGCAAAGATGAAGGAGTTGGAGGAGGAGATGGAGAAGAAGAAGGCTGTTGAAGAAGAAGCGGCAGCAGAAGCAGAAGAGGAGAGAAAACGAAAGGGAAAAGAAGCAGAGAGCAGTGGTGCGATGAAAGAAAAAGCAGAGATGGAGAAAAAAATAAGTGAGTGAATCGCTAATTTAGCGTTGGGGGAAGATGAGGAGGCAGAGTTCTATGTCCCAAAGGACGAGAGGGATGCACTGGCCAGCGAGCTAGCAGCGATGGAAGACCCTTTGGAACGAAGGGAAAGAGAAGAGGAGAAGAAATTGGAATGGAAGCTGAGGATGAAGAGAGAGAAGAAGAAGAGGAGGGAGGAAGTTAATAGGTTGACCGCGGAAGTGGCGAAAGTGCAGGATTGTATGCGAGAAGTGGGAGCACAGACAGATATTTCTGCCAAGATGGATAAGATGTTGGGTTACCTGGAAGTGTTGAGTGCAGCCTGGACGGAGGAGCGCCAGGCCAGTTGGAGTCAGGAGGTAGCCCTGGGTGTCATGCGGTCGAGATTTAGGGATTTTGCGCGCGATATGGTTACCCATGTTGAAGGGGAAGTTGGGAGATTGAGAGATAGCGTGGGGAAGTTCTGTGAAGGCGCCATTGAGGGTGCCAAAGCCATAGCCGCTGTAGAGGGAGGGGCCAGACCCCGTAAGGATCCAGTTAAACTTAAGTTTCCAGATGCATACGGGGGGAAGAAGGAAGAAAACTTTGACAACTGGGAAGCCAGTGTCAATAGTTATATTTAACATCCTAACAGAGGAGCAGATCCTCGTGGCCTTCTAGGCCCTCAAGGATGAAGCGGCAAGTTTCGCTAGGTCCCTCGCGTGCGCAGCCGATTGTGAAAACAACCTGGTTGCTTACTCCAAAGTTACCCCCCTTCCTCAATTCCTCGAGCTCCTGAAGGAGCGATTCGCTGACCCAACAAGAGGCATTAGAGCCTCTGACAAGCTGCAAACAATCCACTCGCGACAGTGGAGGAGTGCAAGGGCACTCAAAGGTACCATGGACGACTTGGTAGCCGCCCCGGATCATGGGGTCACTGAGACCCAGTTGGTCCAGCTATTTTATCGTGCCATGCCAGAGGCCCTGCGTGGGCATTTCTTTGATAAGACTGAACAGGCCGGCATCACCTATGATGCGCTAAGTAGAGAAGTCGTCCTGTATGAGTCAAAGTCTATGTCAGTTACCACCTTCTAGCACAAGGACTTGGATAAGGGGAAAAGGTGGAAGGGTCGTACCATCTCAAGCCAAGTGAGGGCCAAGGATCACATGATCCTTACCTTAGAGGAAGGTGGTACTGATGAGGTCCCGAATAGTCAGATTGAGTGGGGCCTAAAGGAGGAGGACAGTAGTGTGGGACAGGGGAGGTCTTATGTTGTTGTCGCGGCTGGAGGGAGGCCGCAAGGTAGAGGAGGAGGCCAGGGCCAAAGGGGCCAGGCCATGGGAGGCCGAGGACCGGGTGCACAAGGGGTTGGCGGCCAAAGAAACCGCCAAGCGGGAGGTAGGGGTCAAGGTCCCCTGTCAAATCGCCACGGTAATCGGTCCCCACAGCGAAAGGTGGAGGGGCACCTCAAGGAGGATGGCACCCAGGCTTGCCACAGGGCAGGCCCTGGGAAGACTTGGGCTTGGACCAGCATTTATGGCAGGAACACGTGAACATGGGCCAGTGCGTGTTTTGTGGTGACCCAGCTCACGTAATAAAATTTTGTCCAAAGTATAGGCAGGCCCGTTGGGCTGCTCAGTCGTCAAAAGGCAGCCGCCAGTAGGGGTCGCAACTGCCCCTACTTCAAGGCCATGTGGAGAAGTGAGCGTGCGCGAACATGACACTCCCAACCCACATGAGCCTATGGCAGAGGTTGCAGGCCCGTGCATAGATAGCTGTCCGGAGACTGTTTGTGTTAGCATCTCTTTAGGCACCTCCCTCACAGGCGTGGCAGAGGAACTGAAGGAGAGGATGCCCGCCTGGGCCAAAATGAAAGGACAGTTGATCTTGGTAGACGTAGAGGTGTTTAGGAGTAGGGTAGGGGCCCTTATAGATTCAGGGGCCACCCGCAGTTATATTAGCCGTAGGGCGCTGAAGAAGTTGGGGCTGGGACTAAAAGTCCAGAAGTTAGCAGACCCCATAGTCAGTGTCCTCGCAGACAACCGCACAATGCGTGTTGAGGACTATGTAGAGGGAGGCCAAGCGTATTTTCGCCTAGAGAAGGATGGGAAGGTGGAAAAAGTTCTCCATTCCCTGACTCTCCTCGTACAAGATGACATTCCCTTTGATGTAGTGTTAGGAATGGATTGGGGAGAGGCAGCAGGGGCCACACTCCATTTGAGAGAGCATGAGTGTAGGCTCTCGAGTCCATCAGGTGAGGTAAAGACCACCCGCCTGTTTCATGTGTCAGGTGTAGATAACACCTTGGCACATTGCTGTCTCAGTGCTCCCGCGTTCGCGTGATTAGTAAAAAAGGAGCAGTTAGAGGAACAGGTCTTTGTAGTTTATGTTAGACCTGTCACTGAGGCCAAGAAAGAGGATAGTTCTACAGATCCAACCATAGCCAAGCTGCTGGAAGAATTCAAAGACTTGACTGAGTCGCCGACAGGAGTAGTGTCGCGACCCATCCAACACAGAATAGAGATAGAGCCTGGCAGTAGAACTCCTAAGGGAGCAGTCTATAGGATGTCCCCTAGAGAGTTAGAGGAGCTTCGCAAGCAGTTAGATGAACTCCTTGAGAAAGGTTGGATCAGGCCCAGTTCGTCTCCATTTGGAGCACCTGTCCTATTTGTCCCCCAAAACGAAGGAGAGTCGAGAATGTGTATAGACTATAGGGGTTTGAATGCTATCACAGTGAAGAATGCTGAGCCGCTGCCCAGGATAGACGATCTTTTAGATCGGGTGCAGGGTTGTAAGTATTTTTCTAAGATAGACTTAAAGTCCGATTATCATCAGATAGAGGTCCATCCTGATGACCAGTACAAGACTGCGTTCCGGACTCGTTATGGGCACTATGAGTTTATAGTAATGCCCTTTGGACTAACCAACGCGCCAGCTACTTTTCAGCGTTGTATGAATGACCTGTTTAGGCCATGGTTAGACAAAAATTGTAGTAGTCTATTTAGATGACATCTTAGTTTTTAGTAAGACCCTCCAGGAGCACCAGGGTCATCTGAGGCAGGTCTTGGAGAAGCTTAGAGAGGCTAACTTCAAGATCAACGCAAAGAAGTGTGAGTGGGCCAAGACACAAGTTTTGTACTTGGGCCACGTATTAGACGGAGATGGCATCAAGCCAGAGGACAACAAGATAGCGGCGATCAGAGATTGGCCGACGCCCCGCACATTAACAGAGTTGCGGTCATTCTTAGGCCTAGCCAACTACTACAGAAAGTGTGTGAGGAACTTCTCCACTATCGCCGCTCCCCTGCGCAGATTGCTTAAGAAAGAGGCAATCTGGCAATGGGACAAGGATTGTACGTCTGCGCTCAAGAGGTTAAAGCGCGCGTTAATAGAGTATCCTGTCCTCAAAGTTGTTGATCCGTCCTTGCCATTTGTCGTCACCACGAAAGCAAGTCAGTATCAAATAGGCGCCGTGTTGCAACAGGATGACGACCATGGCTATAGACCCGTAGAGTTCATGTCCGCGAGGATGCCCTCAGAGAAGGTAGCCACCTCGACGTACGAGAGAGAACTCTACGCTCTCAGGCAGGTTCTAGACCATTGGAAGCATTACCTGCTTGGGAGACACTTCAAAGTGTATTATGACCACGAGACCCTTAGATGGTTAAAGACCCAGGCCAAGATGACACCGAAGTTGACTAAGTGGGCCGCAGAGATAGACCAATATGACTTTGAGCTTAAGCCATTGAAGGGCAAGTATAACGTAGTTGCGGACGCTCTGAGTAGGAGATCAGACTACTTTGGAGCCATAGTACATTATCTGGATATAGGGAGAGACCTGCAGGAGAAAGTAAAGCAAGCGTATGCGCAGGACCCTATTTATAGCGACCTCCTAAAGAGAGTTATAGAGGCCCCAACGACCGAACCAGATTACCGCACTACAAATGGATTGTTGTTTGAGAAGACTAACGTGTTTGACCGCCTGTGCGTTCCCAACAGCGAAGAGATTCGCAGTTTGATTTTAGGGGAATGCCACGATACTGAAGGGCATTTCAGTTGGCAGAAGACATTAGCCAACCTGATGCGTGCATATACCTGGCCAGGGATGAAGAATGACTGCATAGAGTATGTCCGCAGTTGTAAAGTGTGCCAGAGGAATAAGTCTACTACACGCGCGCCCCTAGGTCTTCTCAGACCCTTGCCTATTCCGGATCAGCCGGGAGACTCAGTGTCTATAGACTTCATGGACACGCAAGTCAAGAGTAGACATGGTAAGAGGCAAGTCATGGTCATAGTGGACCGTTTTAGCAAGTATGTTGTTTCTGTTCCTTTGCCTGCAGAGGCACGCACAGACTTAGTTATACAGAAGTTTTTTTACTTTTGGGTTAGCGAGAATGAAATCCCATTGTCAATAGTTAGTGATAGGGATAGTCGTTTCACCAGCCAGAACTGGCAAGAACTCATGAGAGTCTATGGATCTAAGTTGTTAATGTCGTCTGGCCGCCATCCAGAGACTAACGGTCAGACTGAACAGATGAACAAGATCCTACAGCAAGTTCTGCGCATGTACATTAGACCAGACCAGGTCAACTGGGATGAGATGTTGCCTAAGGTAGCTAGTGCATACAACAACAGCGTGCATCTATCCACCTGCCGCACTCCCAATGAGCTGCACAAGTCCTTTAGACTGCGCTGACCATTCGAAAGACTGAACCGGGACCAGATCCACAGGCCGCCCGGTACCAGGGAGTTTGCGATACAGCATGAGAAAGAATTAGCAACTGTTGTTGAGAACCGCAGGAAGGCCCAACATAGAATGATAGAGTAGGCTAATAAGCACCGCCGCCCATCGCAGTTTCAGGTAGGCGACTTAGTCTGGGTCAAGGCTTTGCACCTGAGGAAAACATCTCGCAGAAGCTACTACCTGCATATAGAGGATCGTGGCCGGTTCTAGAAGTCAAGGGCGGAGAGGATGGACCGTCCTACACTATAGAGATCCCATTACACCTCCACACATATCCTGTCTTTCACGCTTCAAAGTTGTTGCCGTGTGTCACAAGCCAACAGTTCCCTTCACGACGATCTATGATCCCTCTGGATATGGACGAAAGTTATGACATTGAAGGTATTGTAGAAGAGGATGTGTTTAGAACAGGGGGTAGGGGTCGTCCCCAGAAATAGTATAAGGTCCGGTTTGCATATCAGGAGTCAGAGGACGGCCGCTGGTTCACCATAACAGAACTTCTACAAACAGCTCCCGATATAGTAAGAGCTTATGAGCGTGACAAGAAGGGTAAAGGTCCTGCCTTGGACTGAAACATTCTCGGAGGACCTCGAATTTAGGATGGCGGGAGTGAAATGGTTTTCACCTTTAGCAGTAGCAGATGCAATACCCAGGGCTCGATCCCTAGACTTCACCCTACCGGTGTACAGTATCTGTGTAGACCCCGGGAGCTGAACCTGCGACCTATGTATTCATAGACAGTTGGTAGGTCTGTCGTAGGTCCGTAGGTAGCAGGGGTTCGATCTGTAGACCTATAGCGTAGAAGTCTTAGCGAGTTCCAGAAGCTTAGCTGTAGTCCTTCTAGAAGGTAGGGAAGTGGGCAAGTGGGCAAGTGGTCAAGTAGCGAGGCAAGTGGTGGACTAAACTGCAGTGCAATAGCAGTACGACGTTGGTAGGATAGCAGTGAGTCCATAGTCAGTCAGCGGTAAGGTCCAGTCAGTCCCTGTCCGGTCCAG